TTTTTCCTCAAATAAGTTGGTGTCAAGTGCTTTATCTTCAGTCCCACTAATTCTGACTTCCATTGCCTCAATTCTGCTCCTGTGACTTTCTATTGAGTTGTCTAATTCTGAAATTTTATTGTTAACCTTCTGGATTTCTGATTGCTGTCTCTCTATGGATTCTTGCAGCCTGTTAAATTAGTCATTATGCTCTTCTCTAATCCTTTTAATTTCCTCTCTTGTGTATTCTGGGTTTTGCTTAATTTCCTTCCTAATTTCTTGAAGCATTCTGCATATTAATCTTTTGTATTCTGCCTCCAGTAATTCCGAGAAATTTTTGTCCTCTGGAAAATATATAGATTCTTTATTTTGGGAGCTTGCTGAAGCCATCATGGATTGCCTCTTTATGTGATTTGATAAAGACTGTTGTCTCCGAGCTGTCAATAAGTTATTATATTTATTTATGTTTGCTTACTGTATCCTAGCCTCTTGTTTTGTTTTGATATGCCCAAATAGGCTGCTCATATGAGCTAGTTTGATTGTTGTCATCTTTTAAGCCCTAATATCCTGTCACCAGGTGGTTTGATCTGTTACTAGGTGTGTGAACTCAGGAGTCTGCCCACTCCTCCTGTATGGATTCAGCTCAGGTGCCCAGGTAGATAGCCAGCAAGTGTGTGGTGTAGGCTCTCACTTACAGTCCTAGACAGGCATGTGTGAATGGTGTAGGCACAGGCATCTGGCTGCAGCAGGGGGACACACTCTGAGCAAGTCAGGGGGCTGACGGCTGCCCCAAGTGTCCAGCAGGATGGTGTGTCCCTGTTCCCTAGAGCACGTAGGTAGGTGCATTTTACAGCCAAAGTGTGGTACCTAATGCTGTTGGCTGTAAGGTCTGGGGGACACCTCTTATTCATGGGTCCATCTCGCAGATGGCTAGGTGGTGTAGGTGGAGCCACCAGCCCTCAGGCCCCTGTTGTAGGTCGTTGAAGATCGTGCTTAATGGGCAGAGCAGTATCAAATGTCAAGAACCTGCCACTTCACAGCTGAAACAGTTGAAGTTAGACTTCTGGTATAGACCCTGTTGTACTGCAGTAATGAGGGCCTATGCTGTTGAGATGGGCCCACACCAGTCTATGCAGGGGGAAAGGCACTCAAAGTCCATGGATCCCTTATGCCTGTGCCTCGGCAAAGGAGCTGTGCCTACCCTGGGTTCCTGGCTTAGGGGAGCCGGCAATTTATTTTTTCCCGTTTGTTAATTTGTTCACTCTCCAAGGCCGGGAGAATGGCTCCAGGCATGTGATAGATCCCACTTCCGGCCTAGGGGACTTGGCAATTGCTGAACCCATTGCAGCGCAGGGAGCAGGGAGGTAAATGGGAGAGGTTTTTCCCTAAGGCGGGGTGTTTTTGATCCACACGGTAAGCCATATGCAAGTACTTATCTTTCGTGGAGGGCTGCTTCTCACTGGTTCTGGGTGGCCATGTAGACTCTCTGGTGCTGGGTCGCTCCCAGTGCGGAAAACGTGCCTCCGGAGTACAGCTGCTTTCTTGCCTCACTGCTCACCCCTGAGCTTATCAGGCCTGAAGGGCTCAGGCTCTCGCCAGGTCAGGTCTGGCAACTCCTTGCTGCTTCCGAAGTGTCTCTCCCTCCCCCTGCCACTCAGTCTGGGTCCTCAACTCTGCCTTTGATGTTCCGGGCTCCCGGATTGCCATTTATAATCGAATCACTTGTTTTTCGTGTCTGTTTAAAGAGGGTCCAAAGGAAGCATCTGACTACTCTGCCATCTTGGCCCCGCCTCCAGGAAATAGGGTTTTTAATGCAACACTGTGGGGGCTCTGTTTCAAGCTTACTCAGGTATATTTTAAAAATGAGTCCTGGTGGTGTAGTGGTTAAGAGCTCGGATGCTAACCAAAGGCTCAGCAGTTGAAATCCACCATCTGCTCCTTGGAAACCCTATGGGGCAGTTCTACTCTGTCCTATAGGGTTGCTATGAGTGAGAATTGACTAGATGGCAACGGGTTTGATTTTTTTTTTTTTTGATTAATGTTTCAAATTTGTGTTTGAGGACCTTCTGTATTAAATTCTTACTCAGTGCTTATTAAAAATGCCCATCCAGACCCACTGAATTTCTGGAGATTTGATATGGAATGTAAAAGCACCTGATGGGATTCTCATGCAACTGAAGTTTGACCATCTGATCCTTAAAGCTGTAATTAAGGTACCATCAGGCATGTGGACACTGATGCTGGCTTAATACAAAGGTAGTAATAATAAGCAACAATTTTATGCTGTCTTGCACACACAAACATATGAGAAATAACAAAGTCTTCCATGTAATGACAGCATGACATAAATTTTAAAGGGAGTTTGGAGAGACACTTCAAAAAATGAAAACCAAAAAAGCAGCATTTCTTTCTTTTCTTTGTCTTATAATATGAAATACCATATAACTTTAAAAAAGTGGACTGTATTTTTTTTTAAATTCCAGTTGCTGTGGCCACGTACTCTGACAGAACGGTTGTTGGATGAGATGTTCGATAGCACTGCATCCCGGTTTCTGGCCATTTTGGAAGCTCTTTCTGATTCAAATAGACGAATACTGCAAACAGGACCTGTTGTTACAGATGAAGTAGAGCTTCGTGATGTTGCCTCAGAACTGTTTATAGCAGGAAGAGAACTTTTAATAGGTAAATAAAGTGTTAATATTTTATGGTAGAATATGTCTAACAAAAATTGTAGCATGGTAGTTTACACACGAGAAACTGATATCTTATTCAATTCATATTGACCTTGAATTTAGCAAACCTGCTAAACTCAACTGATAATTCAAATAATTATTCAGTATATATTTTTTGGATTTATTTTGTATATACAATCATGTGTGAATAATGATAATTCTATTTATTTACTTTCAATGCTTAGTCTTTCCATTTCTTTTTTCTTATATTTCTTGCCTTATTGCACTGGCTAGGACCAATAATAAAATGTGGAATGGAAGTGGTGATAGCAGACATCCTTATCTCATTCAGGATCTCGAATGGAAAGCTTTCAACATTTCACCATTATTTTTGATAATTTGCTGAAGGATTTTTATAGATACCCTTTATCAGATTAAGGAAGTTTCCTTTTTGTTCCTGGTTTGCTAAATTTTTTTTTTTGTTGTTGTTGTTTTTTAATCCTGAATGGTTGTTGAAGTTTATCAAAAGTCTTTTCTGGGCTTATTGAGATTTATTGAGTTGTTCATATGTCTCTTCTCTTATTTCTGTTTATGTGGTAAATTACATTGATTGCTTATCTAGGAATAAACCTAATTTGGGGTAAGAGTTATCTTTTCCATATATTACTAGATTTTTGTTTGCTAAAAGTGTTGGAAAGCAAAAGGTCACTTTGAGGGTTAAGGTGTGCCTGACCCAAGCCATGATGTTTTCAATTGCCTTGTATGCATGTAAAAGTTGGACAGTGAATAAGGAAGACTGGAGACCAAAGAAGAATTAATGCCTTTGAATTATGGTGTTGGTGAGGAATATTGAATATATACTATTGACTGCCAGAAGAACAAAAAAGTCCGTCTTGAAAGAAGTATACCAAAGTGCTCCTTGGAAGCAAAGATGGCAAGACTTCATCTCAAATACTTTGGACATGTTATCAGGAGGGATCAGTACCTGGAGAAGGGCATCATGCTTGGTAAAGTGGAGGGTCAGTGAAAAGGGGAAGACCCTCAATGAGATGGATTGACGTAGTGGCTTCAACAATGGTCTCAAACAGCAATGATTGTGAGGATGACGCACGACAGGGCAGTGTTTTGTTCTATTGTGCATAGGGTCACTATAAGTGGGAACCAACTCCACAGCACCTAACAATAAACAACAATGTTTACTATTTTTGCATCTCTGTCCATGAGAGAGATTTCCCTTTCATGTAATACCCTTTACTGGTTTTGCTCTCAAGGTTATGCTGGCCTCATAAAATGTGTTGAGAAGTGTGCCCTTTTTCTGTTATATGGAAGGGTTTGTGTTAGATCAGTGTTATTTCTTCCTAAATATTTGGTTGAATTTATTGTTGAAGCCATCTGGACCTGGAGTTTTATTTGTAGAAAAATTTTTAATTATGGATTTATTTCATAGATATAAAACTATTCAGGTTTTCTTTTCATTCTTGTTTTTTAGTCTTCTGTCAATTTTTTGATAATTTTTTTCTTGAAATTTTTCCATTTTATCTAAAGTTTCCGTATTTTTATAAAATTATTTATATCATTATGATATTTTTAATGCCTGTAGGATCTGTAGTCTTGGCCTATTTTTCATTTGTGACATTGGTTAGTTTGCCTTCTCTCTTATTTCTTCAGTTTTAGCAGATATCTACCAATTTCATTAGTCTTGTCAAAGAAACAATATTTGTCTTTACTGATCCTCTGTATTGAATGTATGTGTTATATATTATTAATTTCTGTTCTTTACTATTTCCTTCTACTTCCTTGGAATTATTTTCCTTTTTTTTTTTTAAGATTTATTGACTTGAAGTTTAGATAATTGATTTTCAGGCTTTCTTATTTAATATATATATTCATACACTAAGACATTTCTCTCATAAGTGCAGCTTTAGTTTGTACCTAAAGTTTTGATATATCATACCTTCATTATCATTAGGTTAAAAATAATTTCAAATTTCCATAGTGATTCCTTCTTTGATATTTGGGTTATAGATCAAAGCATGGGGATTTTCTAATTATCTTTTTGTTATGGATTTGTAGCTTAATTATCTTGTGATCAGAGAGCATACTCTATGTTATTTGAAACCTTTGAAATTTGTTGAGACTTGCTTTACGGTCTAACTTGTGGTCAGTTTTGGTGAATAATCTATATGTACATGAAAAGACTATGTATTCTTTTGTTGTTGAGTGCATTGTTTTATATAGATTGATTATGGTAAGTTTGTAAATCATGTGGTTAAATCTTCTCTAGTGCTACTAATTTTCTTCTCTGCATTTTCTATAAATTACTGAGGTAGAAGTGGTACACGTCTTCTGCAATGCATTTCTGTTGGTGTAGAACAGCTGCAGCGTAGCACATGGTGTGTTCTGCTTTAGCAGATATAATTTTCTGAAGTGACTGTAAAAATGGTGCGATGGCAGGGGCGTCTGACCTCCTATAACTTCACAAGGCGGGAGGAGAATCAAGATCTACAGCCCAAGGCTGATTCCTGTGAGGCAGAGGTCAGACATACCTCGTCTCTCCAAACTTTTTACCAATTCTAACACCAGCCATCCCTCCCTCGGCACTCTCTACTTCTCTGCTGGGTTTGATAATTCATTGCAGTGGCCACACAGAATTCACAGACAATACTCAACAATTATAAGGTTTATTAGGGAAGCAACAGGTTATAATTCAGGATCAGGAATGACTCAGGATACAGTTCTTTGATCAAGTCAGCTTCTCAGCTGTGTCCACAGGCAGGCCTCTCTCTGGCCCTCGGCCTCTTGGCCTCTCGGCCCCTTGGCCTCTGCCCTGCTTGGGCAAGTATTACAAAGCTCTTTAGCTCCTCCAATAAGTGCCTGGAGGCACCCTACTCTGCCAGTAAGCCTCCTGCTCGAAGGCACTCAGCTTTCTCACTCTGTGGGCTGGGGCATCCTCTGTAGCCACCTTGCTCCATGGGCTGGGAAGCCCACTGTGCTGTCTCACACTGGTGCCCTGGTTCTGCCACTGCCCTTTCTCTGCCACCACTTCTTGCTGTCTCATGCCGTCTCTGGTGTTACAGCTCCCTCTCTGTCTCATGGGTCTAGGAGGTTATCAGCATTGGGACCCCGGGTCCAAAGGACACGTTCCACTCCTGGCTCTTTTTTCTTGGTGGTAGTGATGTCCCCTTTTCCTGACTCTGGGATGGCTCATTTTAAGCCTAGCAGAATGGCAAAACTGACCAGTCACTTTGTTAGGGTTCCATATACCTTATTTGCATGTCTCAACCCCACAAGGGTGCCATGCGCTTTATTTGCATTATTAGCAACCTATCCAATATTGGTGGCCATAAGCACCTTATTTGCATAACCCTACCCAATCATTTAGTGGGAGTTGCAAGACCATGGCGAGACAGGCCATATAACAGTGATCCATCCCACTGCAGTGACTTTACCAATTTGCGTCCTTATCAGCATTTTATGACAGTTCCAGTTGCTCCAAATTCTTACTGACACTTATTACTATCTATCTTTTTCATTTTGTCCATTCTGGTCTGAATTAAATGATAATGTATTTAGTTTTTCTCTCATGACTAATGAAGTTTAGCATCTTTTCATACATTTATTGGTCATTTGGATATCTTGTTTTGTGACATGCGAGTTCAAATCTTTTACCCATTTTTCTATTAGGCTTTCTCTTATTGATTTGCAACAATTGTTTATGTTTATGTTCTTTACTGAATACATGTATTGCAGATATCTTCTGCTTAGTGACTTGCCTTTTCATTATCTTAATGGCATCTGTTGAGGAATAGAAATTCTTTATTTTAATGGAATCCAATTTGTCAATATAGTCTTTACAGTTAACCCCTTTTGTGTCATATTTAAGAAATCTCTGCTCCACCAATATCTTAAAAATGCTCTCCTATGTTTTCTTCTGGAAGCTTTATTGTTTTATCTTTTATTAGGTCTACATTTAGGTGTTTTTTGTTGGTTTGAGTTAGAGATCAAGATTCATTTATTTCCATATGGATATCTGGTTGACACATCACCATTTATTGACCTGTTTATTGAGCCATTGACTACAGGATCTCTTTGTCATAAATTAGGTGACTTTATGTGTGTGGTCTGTTTCTGGACTTTTTATTTCAATATATTGGTCTGTTTGCCCAATGCAATGCATTGTTTGATTTCTTGACTGCTGCTTCCATGGGTGTTGATTGTGGATCCAAGTAAAATGGAATTCTTTACAACTTCAGTTTTTTCTCCATTTACCATAATGTTGCTTATTGTTCCAGTTGTGAAGATTTTTGTTTTCTTTATGTAGAGGTGTAATCCATACTGAAGGCTGTGGTCTTTGATCTCCATCAGTAAGTGCTTCAAGTCCTCTTCACTTTCAGCAAGCAAGGGTGTGTCATCTGCATAACGCAGGTTGTTAATGAGTCTTCCTCCAGTCCTGATGCCCCATTCTTCTTCATGTAGTCCAGCTTCACGGATTATTTGTTCAGCATACAGAGTGAATAAATATGGTGAAAGGATACAACCCTGATGCACACCTTTCCTGACTTTAAACCATGCAGTATCCCCTTGTTCTCTTTGAATGACTGCCTCTTCTTGATCTGTGTGCAGGTTCCTCATGAGTACAATTAAGTGTTCTAGAATTCCCATTCTTCACATTGTTATCCATGATTTGTTATGATCCACATAGTTGAATGCCTTTGCATAGTCAATGAAACACAGGTAAACATCTTCCTGGTATTCTCTGCTTTCGGCCAGGATCCATCTGACATCAGCAATGATACCCCATAAAAATATGGTATTTAGTAAATACTTCTTTGCATGAATGATACTCAAACCTCTCTCTTTCCTTTCTAGTTTCAAATGCTGGCACAGATGGTATGCTTGGATTTTCAAAATCATCTCTTCTGGAGCATGTTATAGAAAGAAAAAATGTTATTTCTCTAGATGCTGCTGTGAAATTTATAAAATTAGCTTTTAGCTATGAGGAATGGAGTTTATTTGAATCATCAGCTGCTCAACTTATTTATTTTCTCCAGGTAATATATGCAAAGCCATTTATTTATTTTCATTATGTTAAAATGACATTGAATTACTAATTAACTTGTGGGGTATACTTACTTCTCTTAGAGGCAAGATGATCCGGAGTCAAAGAAAGCAGAGAAGGATTTAACTCTTCTTCTTGCAATAGAACCTCTGATCAATGTAAAGAGAAGCAAAGGTTTGGTCTTTCCTTTGGAAAGCTTCAAAGAAGGACAATGTGCTCAAGCGTATGTACGAAAAATTGCTCCTCAGGGTGAGTATTTATTTTTCTTTTTGAAAATTAAAATAATTTTATTTGATATAATATCCTTATTCGTAGGTGAGATGAGAGAAAGAACTTTCAAGGCTGAGGGAGCAGGAAGTTCAAAGGCCCTGAGGCAAGAGTTCTCTTAGTGTGTTGAAGGAATAGTAAGGAGACATATATAGCTGGAGTGCATTGGTGGTGGTGGTGGAGAATAGGAATGTGGCAGGAGATGAGGTCAGAGAAGTAGCTGGGTGCCAGATCATGCAGGCTTTTAGGCTTTGTAGTGATGCTGGGTTTTATTCTGAGTAAGGGTTTTGAGTAGAGGAATGAGGTGCTACTTAGCTGCTGGCTTTTTGGGATAAGTGAGCAACTAGCAGAGCAGTAGAATGAAAAGCTATTCAGTCAGTGGATCTGGGGAAGGTTTGCAATGGTCTCTGTCTTTCCAGCATGCAGGGTCTTCCATTCTAAGACTTTTCAAGTCTTGAAAATTATTGTGTATATAATTGAAAATCAGTGCAATTAATAATTGCCCCAAGTTATCTCTTTTCAAATTCAGATTCACCTGTGCTTTTACTGATTATGATTTAATGTTATATCATAGACTTAATACTGGTTGGAATCCCTGGGTGGTGCAAATAGTTAAGCACTCAGCTACTATTGAAAAGTTGGCAGTTCGAGTCCACCCAGAGGCGCCTTGGAAGAAGAGGCCTGGTGATCTACTTCCAAAAGATCACAGCCTTTGAAAATCCTGTGGAGTGCAGTCTACCCTGAAACATGTGGGGTTGCCATGAGTTGGAATCAACTCTACAGCAACTAATTTGATTTTTTTTTTGTTTTAATACTGATTAGATGTAATAGAAGTCTGTTTGAAGAAGTTTCTATATACTTTGCAAAGCCTCAGTTGAAGATGCCCACTTTGTTCTCTATTATACCTTATTTCAAGATCCATATGTTAAATTCTTTGTAAAATCAACCCTCTACCTATTTTTTAAATCAACAATTGATTTTTTTCCTCAGTCGTGTATACAATACTGCAAATACAGCTTCAGCCTTTCTTCACCAAATTATGTTGTCTATAGAAATTCTGTAACCTCTACTTTTTTGGCCAGTGAGAATTATTGAATTCCATGTTTTTTATGCTTGGCCATGCTCCTCAGGTACTGACTGTGTGGCTGTTGGATTGTAGTAAATAATTTGTACCAAGTAATTGTACAGTTTCTTTTTTTTTCCTAGTGGTTCCTGAATAGATATTTTTATTTCAACTACCAAATTTTATATGTGTTCTAATATTATAAACCTCTTCAGTTTCTTTTTAGACAAAGTTGGTATACAGATTGTGGAATAATAATAATAGTAATGTGTCTATTTTAATTGAATTAGCACCCACTTAGATTAGTTTTCATATAGAAGTATTTAAAGTATTTTATTGATGTGATATTTTTCCAGATATTTGTTTGTGTTATTTTTCTAGAATTTCTCTGTTTCTGTGCTTTTTCTATTTGAAATTTTGTAATCGATTTTTATTTAATTTTTCTCTACTTTATGAATTGAGAATCTTGTATGAAAACTGTTGGATATTCAGAAGATATTTTCCAGTTGGCAGCAACCTTATATTCCTGTGTCTGTTCCTCTTCCCAGGTGAAATAGCTATTTTGGATAATTTTTAATAGTGTAATAGGAGGCTATTATACATCTAATTTAGAGCCAGATTTACAATATCACATAATTGCACCTTGCCAAAATTCTAGATTGTTTAATTATTAGATTAAGAGGTTGAGTTAGATCCTCGTTTGCTGTAATTTTAAGTTTCTTTTTATTATTGTCATTATTCTGAGTATCAACCTGTTCCTTTTTTTGGAAATTCCTAGGCTAGCTATATTTCTAGTAATGAAGGAAATGCTTATAATTAAGAATAAATGTTTTTAATGAGATACTGCTTTTTAGTCCATGAGTGCAAAGCTTGGTTGTTGTTTGGAGTCACTTTGCACAGAATGGTCAGTATTTAGAAATGGTCTATCAGTGAGAATTAATGTTGTATGTGAAACGAGTATAGCCCTGGCTTTATAACTGAGTTCTAGGGATCCCCAGGGCTTCTCTGAGGCTCCCCAGGAGCACAAGTTTGAGTAGTAGCACCCCAATATGTTTTTATTAGTTTTGTATACAATTTGGGATTCTGATGGAGTTTCATTTGAAAACTTGGTTTTACTGTTGTAAAAAAAATTCGAAAACCAATAGAGCAATGTATTAACTTTTCCCATGTAAGTGAAACACAGTCAGGGACTTGAGAAGTTCTACTGTTATGTTATTTTCTATGTCTTCTGGGTCTATTAGAACATGTTATAACCTGTAATAGATACTTCATTTTCTTAACAAAGGTGTTTGGTACCAAATTTAATGAGTTATTATAATTGTTATAGTGGGGGAGCTAAACCAAAACATAATCAAGGCTTAAAAGGGCAAGAATTTTTTTTTTTTTTTAACCATGTGTGTCTTAATTCAAGTTCAATTCAATTCAGTAAACATTTGTTGATCCTTATGCCACCCAGAGGCGCCTCAGAAGACAGACCTGATGATCTGCTTCTGAAAGGTGACAGCCTTGAAAACCCTATGGAATGCTTCTACTCTGCACTCATGGGCTTGCCATGAGTCGCAGTCAATTTGGCCGCTAACAACAACATTATGTTCCAAGCATCGTGCTAAGGTCTTAGACCTTCCTTAAGGGAGCTCAAAGTTTGGTGTATTTTAATCATAAAATTATCTTTTTAGTTCAGCTATAATGAGTAACTTTATTTTTCTTTAGAGAAGAGCTGGGTAACTTTGATTTAAGAGGAGAAATAGTCATTCTAGGCCATCTATTGATACCTAATGAGAGGTTCTGGTTAGAGTCTCTGTGTCTCCATTTCTTTCCTATCTATACCCTTTCCTAGCTCCCCATCCATGTTCCCTCTCCACACCACCCTCCACAATTCTTTATTATCTTAATGCAGGAATGTTAAAAAGGAAAAGTAGGATAGTTAAATTTCAAATTGCATGAAACTATTTGGTTTATACACCTGTCTGAAAATGTTTGGGATTTTCATTTTAGAGAGGCAGAAGCAGTGCAGAGTAGTCAAAAAAGAGGACTCTGGAGCTAGACTGCTTAGTTTGAATCCTGCGTCAGCTACTTTCTAGTCCTTTCATCTTTTTTTTTTTGTTTTGTTTATTGTTGTAGTTTAAGTGAAAGTTTACATTTCAAGTTAGTCTCTTATACAAAAATTTATACACACATTGTTATGTGACCCTAACTGCTCTCCCTATACTGTGACAGCACACTTCTCCTTTCCACCTCTAATTTCCCTGTCCATTCAACCAGCTTCTAACCCTCTCTGCCTTCTTATCTCACCTCTGGACGGAAACTGCCCATTTAGTCTCATGTATCTACTTGAGCTAATCAGCACACTCTTCACGAGTATCATTTTATGTCTCACAGTCCAGTCCAATCTTTGTCTGAAGAGTTGGCCTTGGAAATTGTTTTAGCTCTGGGCTGATAGAGAATCCGGAGGCCACGCTTTCTGGGGTTCCTCCAGTCTCAGTCAGACCATTAAGTCTGGTCTTTTTGCTAGAATTTGAGTTCTGCGCCCTACCATTCTCCTGCTCCATCAGGGACTCTCTGTTCTGTTCCCTGTTGGGGCGGTCATTGGTGGTAGCCAGGCACCGTTCAGTTCTTCTGGTCTCAGGATGATGAAGTCTCTGGTTTATGTGGCCCTTTCTGTCTCTTGGGCTACTACTTTCCTTATGTCTTTGGTGTTCTTCATGCTCCTTTACTCCAGGTGGTTGGGACCAATTGAAGCATCTTTGATGGCCGCTGCAAACTTTTAAGACCCCAGATGCCACTCATCAAAGTAGAATGCAGAACATTTTCTTAATAAGCTTTGTTATGCCAGTTGACCTAGATGTCCCCTGAAAGCATGGTCCCCAGACCCCCGCCGCTAGTACTCTGTCCTTTGAAGTGTTTGACTGTATTCAGGAAACTTTTTAGCTTTGATTTAGTCCAGTTTTGCTGACTTTCCCTATAGTGTGTGCTGTCCTTTCCTTCACGTAAGATAATTCTTGTCTACTGTCTAGTTAGTGAATAACCCTCACCCTGTCTGCCCACCCTCGTAATCATCAAAGATTGTTTTCTTCTGTGTTTAAATCTTTTCTTGAGTTCTTCTGATAGTGGTCTTATACAATATTTGTCCTTCTGTGACTAACTAAATTCACTCAGCATAATGACCTCCAGCTTCCTTCATGTTATGTTTCATGGCTTCATCATTGTTCTTTATCGTTGCATTGTATTCCATTGTGTGAATATACCATAATTTGTTTATCCATTCATCTGTTGATGGGCACCAAGGTTATTGCCATCTCTTTTGCTATTGTGAACAGTGCTGAAATGAACATGGGTGTGCATATATCTATTCGTGTGACGGCTCTTATTTCTCTAGGCTATATTCCAGGAGCAGGATAGCTGGATCATATAGTACTTGTATTTCTAGCTTTTTAAGGAAGCGCCAAATCAATTTCCAAAGTGGTTGTACTATTTTACATTCCCACCAACAGTGTGTAAGTGTTCCAGTCTCTTCATAACCTCCCCAACATTTATTATTTTGTGTTTTTTGGATTAATGCTAGCCTTGTTGGGGTGAAATGATATCTCATTGTAATTTTGATCTGCATTCCTCTAATGGCTAACGATTGTGAGCATTTCTTCATGTGTCTGTTAGCCACCCGAATATCTTCTTTGGTGAAGTTCCTGTTCATATCCTTTGCCCATTTTTTAATTAGGTTATTTATCTTTTTGTTGCTGAGGTTTTGCAGTATCTTATAGATTTCAGAGATTAGACACTGATTGGATTTGTCGTAGCCAAAATTTTTTTCTCAGTCTGTAGGTTGTCTTTTGATTCTTTTGGTGAAGTCTTTTGATGAGCATAAGTGTTTGATTTTTAGGAGCTCCCATTTGTCTAGTCTTTCTTCTGGTGCTTGTGCATTGTTACTTATGGTTCGTATTCTGTTTATGCCATGTATTAGGGTTCCTAGCATTGTCCCTATATTTTCTTCCATGATCTTTATTGTTTTTGATTTTATATTTAAGTCTTTGATCCATTTTGAGTTATTTTTTGTGCATAGTGTGAGGTATGGGTCTTGTTTAATTTTTTTGCAGATGGATATCCAGTTAGGCAAGCACCGTTTGTTAAAGAGACTGTCTTTTCCCCAATCACTGGACTTTGGGCCTTTGTCAAATATCAGCTGCTGCTGGGTGGATGAATTTATGTCTGGATTCTCAATTCTGTTCCATTGGTTTATATATCTGTTGTTGTACAAGTACCAGGCTGTTTTGACTACTGTGACAGTATAATAGGTTCTAAAATCAGGTAGTGTGAGGCCTCCCACTTTGTTCTTCTTCTTCAGTAATGCTTTACTTGTCCAGGGCCTCTTCCCTTTCCATATGAAGTTGGTGATTTATTTCTCCATCTCATTAAAAACTGCCGGTGAAATTTGAATCTGGATTGCATTGTATCTGTAGATGGCTTTGCATAGAATTGACATTTTCACAGTGTTGAGTCTTCCTATCCATGAGCAAGGTATGTTTTTCCACTCATGCAGGTCTCTTTTGGTTTCTTGCAGTAGCGTCTTGTAGTTTTCATTGTATAGGTCTTTTACGTCTCTGGTTAGAGTTATTCCTAAGTATTTTATCTTCTTGGAGGCTATTGTAAATGGTATTGATTTGGTGATTTCCTCTTTGAAGTTCTCTTTGTTGGTGTAAAGGAATCCAACTGATTTTTGTATGCTTATCTTGTATCCTGAAACTTTGCTGAAATCTTCTCTTAGTTCCAGTAGTTTTCTTGTGGATTCTTTGGGATTTTCTGTGTCTAAGATCATATCATCTGCAAATAGAGATACTTTGACTTCTTCTCTACAATTTGGATGCCTTTTATTTCTTTTTCTAGCCTAATTGCTCTGGCTAGGACCTCCAGCACAATGTTGAATAGGAATGATGATAAAGGGTATCCTTGTCTGGTTTCTGTTCTCAAGGGGAATGCTTTCAAAGTCTCTCCATTTAGGATGATATTGGCTTTGTACAAATGCCATTAATTTTACTGAGGAATTTCCCTTCTATTCCTATTTTGTTGAGAGTTTTTATCATGAATGGGTGTTGGACTTTGTCAAATACCTTTTCTTCATCAATTGATAAGATCATGTGGTTCTTGTCTTTTGTTTTATTAATGTGATGGGTTACATTGATTATTTTTCTAATGTTGAACCATCCCTGCATACCTGGTATAAATCCCACTTCATCATGGTGAATTATTTTTTTGAAATGTTGCTGAATTCTATTGGCTAGAATTTTGTTGAGGATTTTTGCGTCAATGTTCTTGAGGGATATTGGTCTGTAATGTTGTTTTTTTGTGGTGTCTTTACCTGGTTTAGGTACCAGGGTTATGCTGGCTTCATAGAATGAGTTTGGGAGTATTCCATCCTTTTCTATGCTCTGAAATACCTTTAGTAGTAGTGATGTTAACTCTTCTCTGAAAGTTTGGTAGAATTCTCCAGTGAAGCCATCCGGGGCAGGGCTTTTTTTTGTTGGGAGGTTTTAAATTACCTTTTCAGTCTCTTCTTTTGCTATGGGTTTGTCTAGTCCTTTCATCTTGAGAAAGTAATTTAATCTCCTTGTGCTTCAATTTCCTCATGTGTAATTGGGGGCTATAGCAATAGTAATCACCTCATAGAGTCATGAGGATTAAATATATTAGTATATATAAAGCTTTTAGACTGTTATCTGGCACACAGTAAATGTTATCTATATATTTATCTTATTATTCTTATTCATTCACTTTGTCACTTTTGTTTCCAGAATGTTCAGCCTGATAAAGAAATAGTTGTGGACATGATAATGTTCCTGTGGCAGAGATGCAAATTGGGAGTTCAGCGGATCAATATGTCCAAAAATGACTATGCAAAATTCACCCAGAAAATCAGTACTAACAAAGTATTCCTTTTTGTTTCTTTTCTCATATTTTTTGTTTTTGCTAATCCAAGTTCTGATACACATTTCAAATTTAAATTTCCGTATTTATCCAACTGTGTAACAACCATCATTTACATATGTATGTGTTAAGAAGAAAATATTCTTAAGCATAGTGCTGAGTGAGCCTTTCTTTTAATGTGTGTTCCCTGCACCCCTGGTTAGGCGGACTGAGGAGGTATTTGAAGTTTTCAAGAGAGGAATAAATTTATAGTGTGCTAAGGTCACATGAAGGACCCCTGGTGGCACAATGGTTAAGAGCGCGCTGCTAACCAAAAAGTCAGCGGTTTGAACCTGCCAGCTGCTCCTCTGGAGAAGGATGTGGCAGTCTACTCCTATAAAGATTACAGCCTAGGAAACCCTATAGGGCAGTTCTACCCTGTCATATAGGGTCACTGTGAGTGGGAATCAGCTCGTTAGCACATAACAACAATAATAAGTTCACATGAACTTGGATAAATTCATTAAGAAGTTTAATAATAGAGAATACAAATAAGTAAGCAAGGAGTTTCAGAATGTTAATTAAATGATGTATTTAGACTACTTTAAAGGGCTAGTTCATGGGAATGAGAAAGTTGAGTAGTTTAACATTATGCCTTGGAAGCTTAGGAGAAAATGTTTTATCAATAATAGATTCAAAGTGTGATGGTTAGTTTATGTGCTAAGCTTTGGAAATACAGACATGAAGGGCAATTTCTAAGCACCTAGCATAGAGCCCAAAATATTCCTCAAGGAATGCATCCCTCCACCTGCTTCCCCCTCACTACTTTGGAGGATTTTGATAGTGATCATAACAGCTACTTTGAAGTGAGAGTATGAACTTTGTGGATACAGATAATCTTCACTGCTGTATAAAAATAACAAATTATAGATTTGCCGTTTGGCTATAGATATGCAGACCATAAGCTTAACTGAACCTTCTTTATGAATTTATATAAACAGACTGATTATTAAATATCTTACTAGGATCACTGATCTTTATATTATTTAAAATTAAGATGCACTAATAAGACAGTCCCTGGCTGGGGCAAATGATTAATGAGCTCGGTTGCTAACTGAAAGGTTGGATGTTCAAGCCCACCCAGAGGCACCTTGGAAGACAAGCCTGGCAATCTGTGTCTGAAAAATCAGCTTGAAAACCCTATGGAGGGCAGTTCTACTCTGACACACATGAGGTTCCCATGAGTCAGAATTGATTCAACACCAACTTGTTTTTTTTTAATAAGAAAAGGGTACCTGTATAAAGAGTCCTGGTGGTGCAGTGGTTACAGCACTTGGTTGCTAACTGAAAGGCTGGCAGTTTGAGCCTACCAACCTCTCTGCAGGAGAAAGATGTGGTAGTTTGCTTCCGTGAAGATTACAGTCTTGGAAACCCAATGGGGCAGTTCTACTCAGCTCTATAGGGTCACTGTGAATCAGAATCGACTTGGCAGCAGTGGGTTTGGATTGGTACCTAGATAACATTTGCATGTGATTGGAAGATGGTGACTTTATGGAAGTAGTAAGTTTTGAAAAATGTGAATTTTTCTATAGTGTAATTCACTATTAACGTGTTTTTCTATATATTTTCTTTTTAGTGGGTTTATCTTCTGTGGCAGATAAATGAAATAATTCATTGCTATAAAGTGGAAGACATTGACATTGTGGTGGTCGCAGAGGTCACATTACGATTAAGTGAAATATTGGAGTGTTTAGGAAACCCAGCAAGAAAATTTAAAAAATCTCTAGGTAAAATATTGAATGAAAAATATGAGATTACTAACATATGTACAAATGTCAATAAATAAGTATAAATTAGAATATGGGATAACTTCTGTTAATGTAAATTAGGCATTTCAGTATTGTGCTTCAGTGATGACTTATAACCAGAGATAGAAAGAATACAGCGGTTTTAACCATGGATTTCAGAAAAAGGTTACACAGTGTAAGGTTCAGTAGCAGACAAAACTCTTTTTGTCTTCTCCTCACTCATTTGTTCCCCTTCTCCGCTTCTCGTCACCACCTACTTCTCTCTTTCCCCTTCTCTTTCATTCTTCCTTTTTTCCTTTCAATCCCCCTCTTTTGTCCTCTTTCATATTTCTCCTCTTCCATTTCCCCATAGGGTGTATGCTTCTTGAAGGAAGAGAGTAAGTTTTGGTCACAATTACATTCCTGGTACCCACACTTCCTAACACAGAGTGGGAGTTCAAATAAATATTTGTTGAATGCATCAGTGGCCTTCTACCCTTTATCCCCCTTTTTAAAAATTCTCCTTTCTCTTCTAATTCCTTCCTCTTAAAAATTCTGCTTTTTTTCTTCATTTCTTATTCTATTTATCCTCTTCTTTTGCGCTTTCTTGTTATCTTCCTCCTCTTTTTCCCTTCATTTCCCACCCACTCTCCTACTCTCCCTGTCCCAACCCCTTGATGCCGCATCCTATTTTCCTCCTTGCAGAAGATGCCATCTTTCAAAGGGTGGCTGTATGCTCTGACTTCCTTGTTTTTTCCTCTGCCTATAGTTAGACCCCTCTGCCCATATGTAAAGAACAGGGTGGGATGTTCATGGTGGGGATAGGGTGTTTACTTTGCTATTTCGCCTGGCCGATGGAGTATGTATGACTTCTGGAGGACTTTGTCATAAAGCCATTGTTTTCCCAGAGATTCACTAATTTGGCTCTCCCTGTCGTTGGTTGTTGAGTGTGTGGCTTTGCAGATGGAGTTTTATAGCAACGGTCCTTAAATTTTGATGAGTATCAACTATCACCTGAGAACTGATAAAAATACAAGGCTCAAGCCCTTTCTACATCAACTAGCCTGGACCCTTCTAGGCTTTATAAGCTCTCCAGGTGATTTTGATACATACCAAAATTTAAGAACCACTGGTTAGAGGTCTCTGTTCTTCTCACATGGTTAGTGGCCTGAAGTCATATTTTTGAAATGGCCTACCTTAAAATCCTTTTTACTTTTTAAGCTTTTATTATGCAGAATTTCAAATATAAACTAGAGAGATGAAATAAGCCACCATGTACTCATTAGCCAGCTCCAACAATTAGCAACATTTGCCAATCTTACCTAATCTCCGCTGCAAAACTTTTTTCCCACAGTGGAGTTTTTTTAAAGATGACATCATGTCATTTAACTAGCAGATGTCTTGACTGCTACTTCCTTGGCATTGATTGCAGATCAAACTAAAATGAAATCCTTGACAACTTCAATCATTTCTCCATTTATCATGATGTTCCGCACTGGTCCAGTTGTGAGGATTTTTGTTTTCTTTGTGTTGAGGTGCAATCCATACTGAAGGCTGTAGTCTTTGATCTTTGTAAGTAAGCGCTTCAAGTCTTCTTCATTTTCAGCAAGCAAGGTTGTGTCATCTGCATATTGCAGGTTGTTTGAGTCTTCCTTCAATCTTGATGCCCTGTTTTTCATTTAGTCCAGCTACTCAGACTGTTTGCTCAGCATACAGATTGAATAAGTATAGTGAAAGGATACAACCCTGACGCACACCTTTCCTGATTTTAAACTACTGAGTATCCCCTTGTTCTTTTCAAACGACTGCCTCTTAGTCTCTGTACAGGTTCCTTGTGAGCACAATTAAGTATTCTGGAATTCCCATTCTTCACAATGTTATCCATAAATTGTTATGCTCCACACAGTTGAATGCCTTTACATATTTTCTGAATGCTTTTAAATGGACTTTATAGAATATACAGGAAGACCAATCTCTTTACCAGTGATATTACCTTGTTCATAATCAAGATTCTTGATTTTGTTGTATTGCAAGATGATTTGAAAGTGTCTTAGATAAAGAAAAAAAATTAATTATGTGAAACAAGTTGGTATTTAATTAATTTCTGCAGTGTTCAATTATTTCTAATAGCATGGATAATTAAAAAGATAACCAATTTAGCATAACTTTTTAAGATTATGACTCACTGCTGTATTTTCATTTTTCTCTGTACTTCTTTCTTTTTCTCTCATCCCTCCTTATTTGCCTTTCTGTTTTTCTCTCTCCTGCCTATTCCTTCACCATTTTTTCTTTACTTCTCCTTCTTTCCTCCCTCCTTCTCTGCTCTCTCTCTTTCTTTTTTTACAGAGTTATCTTTAAGAAAAGGGAATAGTGAATTGCCTGTATACTTGAAAGGGAGCTCGGAAATTCTTCCAATATTAAAGGTACTACAAAATATTTTAGAAAATACGGTTAAAAATGCCACACTTGTAAATGTATAATGGTTAGTTGTAGAAAAAATTTAAGAATTTATGGTTTCTTCATACATTGAAAATTACTGGGCCTTTTTATAACTTTTACTTTAGTTCTAGAAAAAACTAGAGAAAATATCTTTAAAAGGATTTCTGATTATTGTTGATAGTTTGGATGTGTTGTGATTCATAGACTTAAAAATAGAGCAGAGATCTTCTACTCAGCACACACTTCTGACAGATTAAATGAGTTATTGCCTGTATGAAATCCACTTAAAACAATGCTTGGCACAGAGAAAGTTCTCAGTGGGCTTTAGTTTGAGAGAAGAAAGAGGATGGGGAGATAAATGGCTATTCCTCTTTTCCTTGATTATCCTTCCTTTATGATATTCTAAATACTTCCTTATTTCGTGAATTATATTACTGAACTGAATGGGAGTCTAGGGAACTGCTGTATATACCTACCTACCTGCCTATCTATGTAGTAAACATTCGTTTATTTGTAGGCAAGATCTAGAACAGCATTTTCCAAACTCTATCCTACGTGATGTTAATATTATACTTCAGAAAAGGATGCCATAATCAAGTAATCTTGGCTGACTCTGGATTAAACAAAATAGATTTATTTACTGTGAGACTTCTCATAGGCATTGATTTATTTATGTGTACTGCAGTTCTCCAAGAAGGAGATTTAGAATACTATACGTTCCCTTATTTGAGAATAAAACCTTTTAGCCCCACTGGAATACCTGTTCAGAATGCTAGTGTTTCATGGACTATAGTTGAAAAATAATTCTTTAGAGAGGAAGCTAGTGGACTATATTTTGCTTTGCTTGATTTAATTTATAAACTATAATTTTAAATTACAAAAGTAATATTAATATTAGGGAATGTTTCAAGGCATAAAAAATGAAGAAATGAAAAAGTCTATAATTTTACTATACTGACCTAAATATTATAATTTTTCTATATTCTCTTTTAGACTCTTTCACAATTTTAACCTAGTAGCATTCTATTTTTTCTAAACATTATTTCATCAGCACTTCCCCTGTTACTATATGTTAATCCTCATAATATTTTTTTTGAAAAATTGATTTGAATATATGATATGAAATAATAAAGAATATTATAATGATGACCCATTTTCCTATCCGTTGGCTTAAGAAACAAACATTATAGTACAATTGAAACCCACTTCCCCACTAACTCCTCCTGATCACATTGCCCTTTTCCCTACCTAGGGGTAACTGCCATTCTAAATATGGTGATTATAAATTCCAGGCATTTTAATACTTTTATTACATATGCATGCATTCTTAAGCAGTCGAGAATACTGTTTTGCCTGTTTTTAAATTTATATAAATAGTGTCATCCTGTATGAGTTCTTCTGAAGCTTGATATTTTCTCTCAGAATTTTGCCAGATTCACCCAAGTTGATTTGCATAGTCATCATCAGGGGCTGTTTAACTGGTAAGCAAGGTACACACGGGTTCACTTGTGCTTACTTACTGATCTATAGTATACAATTTCACCTGTTTTTCACCACAAGTAAACATAAGTAAGCCTGTGCGTACCTTGCTTATTTGGTAATTAGTCCCTGGTCATAATGCTTTCACTTTCACTGCTACACCCAACTTGCTCAAGGATGCCCAGTAAGTGGTAGAGTAGGGATTTGAACTTACATTTGTTGCCTTCAAAGTCCAGGCTTTTAGCCACTATGCTATGCTGCCTCTTGATTGAAAAACAAAGTATCTTCAGGATATCCATATAAAAATATTTTCCCAGTATGTAGATTTAAACCACTTTTATTGGCGATTAATAATATACCATCTCCCCCCTTTCACCCTTATATATGGTATCCCTTTGAAATATAAAAGCCAATATTATTTTAGAAGTGTTATTTCATCTACAGCCCTGCCATACTTGATGTAATAGACATAGTCCTAAGAAACTGTGCACCAATCAAATATCATTATGAATGTAGTAGAGGATTGGGTTGTCATTCTGAATTTACTTTCTCAAATGAATGTTCACCTTGTAACTGTAGGTTTCAGGAGATGAAGTTTTGAGTTCTTTATGTCGTGGTATGTTTTTTGAAGTGAGCTAGAATTGAGAAATCTAAACTGGGAACAGAGAACGTTTGACCTGCATAAAGAGATTGGGGAAGCATAATAGCTGTCTGCTAGTGGTTTTTCCAGGGATCACTTAGGGTACTTGTTAAATATGCTGATTTCTATTTCTCAATCGAGAAATACTGAACCATAATTTTGTGTAGGGTTCTTAAAAGTTCCTAATTCCAGGTATGTGCCTCTTAAAAGTTCCACTAATTGATCAATTTCAGACTACAGAAGTTAGTAAAAGTCTTCAGTGTATTCATCTTTGGCATTAGTGATTGGAGCGTAAATTTGAATACTGCTCATATTAACTGGTCTTCCTTGTAGGCATATGGATATTATCCTATCACTGACAGTGTCGTACTTCAGAATAGATCTGGAAATGTTCTTTTTGTCAATGAATGCAATTCCATTCCTCTTCAGTTTGTCATTCCCGGCATAGTAGACCATATGATTGTGTGATTTAAAATGGCCACTATCAGTCCCTTTCTGCTCACTAATGCCTAGCATATCTATCTTTTAGCATTCCATTTCGTTTTCGACAACTTCCAATTTTCCTAGATTCATACTTTGTACATTCTGCATTCCGATTATTAATGGATGTTTGCAGCTGTTTCTTCTCATTTTGAGTCATGCCACATCAGCAAATGAAGGTCCCGAAAGCTTGACTCCATCCACATCATTAAGGTCGACTATACTTTGAGGAGACAGGTCTTCCCCAGTTGTATTTTGAGTGCCTTCCAACCTTACGGGCTCATCTTCTGTCACTATATCAGACAACGTTTTGCTGCTATTCATAAGGTTTTCACTGGCCAATTTTTTTTAGGAGTAGATTGCCAGGTCCTTCTTCCTAGTGTGTCTTAGTCTGGAAGCTCTGCTGAAACCTGTCCACCATGGGTGACCCTGCTTGTGTTTGAAATAGTGGTGGCAAAGCTTACAGCATCACAGCAACACACAAGTCACCACAGTACGTCAAACTGACAGATGAGATTTGCATTTGGCAAGTCTGCTGCACAAAAGATCTTTTTAAAGTGTTAAAAAGCAAAGACGTCACTTTGAAGACTAAGGTGCACCTGACTCAAGCCATGGTATTTTCATTTGCCTCATATGCATGTGAAAGCTGGACAATGAATAAGGAAGACCAAAGAAGAATTGATGCCTTTGAATAGTGGTGTTTGTGAAGAATATTGAATATACCACAGACTGCCAGAAGAATGGACAAATCTGTCTTGTAAGAAGTACAGCCAGAATGCTCCTTAGAAGCGAGGAGGGCGACTTCATCTCACGTACTTTGGACATGTTATCAGGAGGGACCAGTTCCTGGAGAAGGACATCATGCTTGGTAAAGTAGAGGGTCAGCGAAAAAGAGGAAGACCCTCAATAGATGGATCAACACAGCAGCTGCAACAATGAACTCAATAGCTATGATTGTGAGGATGATGCAGGACCAGGCAGTGTTTTGTTCTGTTGTACACAGAGTCGCTATGAGTTGGAACCAACTTGACAGCACCTAACAACAACAGCTACAGAAGTTCCCTAAGTAGTTCTTAAGGATACTAGAGTTTGAGTTCTTAAGGATACTAGTTAGTAGTGGGCTAGCACATGTTTTCTGAGACTTCATAGGACAGGAATAGGAATACAAAGGGAAGTTAAAAAGTGGAAGTTACAGTTACATTTTGACTTGAGATAGAAAGTTTATAGCAAAGAAAGTCACTAAGTGAAATGGCTTTGTTAGAAGGTGATGATTTTCCCACAACCCCAGAAGCCGAAGACCATTTATGAACTGTTGCTCCTGTTGTTTAAATTAGAAAAAAAGTATCCTTTCCTCCAGATGCTTTATACCATCTGCTGGAAAATTGTCAAAATTGGTCTACAAGTCTGTGATGACTACAGTATGAATGGCGCCTCCTAAATCTGTGCAATACACAACCTGCCCAGCTATACTGGAGCGTATGCTAGATCTACGAGAGATGATTCATTGGTGTGCACAGCAGCTGGTGTTGGAAGACCTGGAGTTGCGTTCGGATTCAGATATTGACTGTATGACCTTGACTGAATTATTTCATCTGTTTGAGTATGTGTTCTCATCATTAGGAAGATAGTACCTATTTCACTAGGTTGTCATAGAGATGAAATGAGATGCATTAGTAAAATTGTGGAAACTAATACCTGGCACATGGGAGATAACTCTGTTTTTCTCTTGTGCTTCATGTAGAGCACTAAATCTCAACCTTCGGTTCTCAGACCCGTCTGGAGGGGTGTGAAGTGGGGAGAGGGAGTGAGAATTTATTGCAAGAATTCCCAAATCCATATGCTCACTTAGCAGAGTCTGTAAAAAACCAAAACCAAACCAGGTGCTATCTAGATGATTCTGACTCGTGGCAACTCCATGTGTGTTAGAGTAGAACTGTGCTTCATAGGGTTTTCAATAGCTGATTTTTTGGAAGTAGATTGCCAGGCCTTTCTTCTGAGGCACCTCTGGGAATACTCGAACCTCCAACCTTTCTGTTAGCAGCGAGCATGTTAAACAGAATCTGTAGATGGGATAAATTATATTATCTTGTATATATACATGCTACTATTTTAAAAAAATGTATGAGGTGCTATTGTGATTACATAAAAAATTATGTTTTACTGAATATGCAACAGCTATTTTTTGACCAATAGATTATAAAATTATAATAACTAGTGAGTATCAACCTCATAGGTCTATGACAATTAAAAGATGAATCTATGTAAAACATGTAGCACAACACCCTGGTAAGTTTTCATTAAATGTTAGCTGTGATGGTGATGATGATGATGATAATGATGAAGAAGGAGGAGGAGGAGAAGGGAAATGGGAAAAGGAAGAGGAGGAGATGGAGGAGAAGAAGAAAAGTATGTGGGTGTGTGTGAGGGGTATTTGAAATTTTTGAGGGTTAAAAAGGTAACCTTAGAGACTTCTGTTTCTGGCAATACGGCAAACTCAAGCCTGTTGCAGCTGAGTCGATTCCTACTCATTGAGACCCTATAGGACAGAGTAGAATTGCCTCCATAGGGTTTCCAGGGAGTGGCTGGTGGATTCAAACTACTGACCTTTTGGTTTATCAGCTGAGCTCTTAACCACTGTGCCACCAGGGCTCCATATGGCAAACCAGATAACCCCCGAACCCTCCTGCTACAAAACATCTAGACAGTTGGATAGAATTGAACAAATATCCTCAGCTACATTGCAGAGCTCACAAGAAAGTAAGGTGAATCCCAGAGCCCAAAATAGAAAGGGGAAATGAAAACTATAATGGTAAGTTGAGAGTGGATAATGCAGCAGCTAGCAGGTGTGGAGTGGATGGACTCAGCTACAAAGAAGCTTGGATTTTTAACAGCCTTCCAGGAAAAAGAGATGAGGCTTGGACATATGAAAAGGGGGTGGGGAGGGGTTTGGAACTGACAACCCCCATCCCCTATAAAGTTGGAGCCCTTGTGGTACAGTAGTTAAGAGCTACAACCGCTAACCAAAAGTTGGCAATTTGAATCCACCAGCCACTCCTTGGAAACCCTATGGGGAAGTTCTGCTCTGTAGAGTTAGAACCTGCAAAATGCTACAACCTAGGAAAGATAGATTAGAAAGAAAAAAAAAAAAAAAAGCTACCTATTTGTATAGGGAAATATCACAGCTTGGGTACCCAGAAGGGGGATGGTTGGGAGAAAGTCTTTCCTGATGATTTATAACTTGAGCCTGCCCTTAGGTAGGTTTATTATTTGAATTTTCGCTACTTAGATTGCTTGGGAATTTCCAATCTGATAAATTAATACAAAAAGGATCCAGAGCTTGCACTTCTGACTGGAGAATTTGTTCATCACACACTCTCACACACACACACACATATATAACAAATTTAGTATATTTTAGGAATACAAGGATGATTTATCATTAGGAAATCTATAATGCAATATACCACATTAGCAGATTAAAGGAAAAAATATAAATATCTCACTAGGTAAAGAGATGCAAAAAAAAAAAGAAAGCATTTGACAATTCAACAACCATCCTTTTAAGAAATAATTCAGCAAATTAGGAATAGAAGAGAACTTTGGTGTCGGTTAAAGGGTATCACCCAAAGACTTTTAAAAAATGTTATATTTATGTAGAAAGATTAAAACAGCCACTTCATTCTGATGTAACAACATAAAGATATCTAACATCCTTCTGTTCAACATGCCCTGGAAGTCTTAGACAGCTGAATAAAAAAAGAAAAGAGAATAAAAGGTATAAGGGTTGTAAAGGAAGTATCAGCCTTGTGTTTATTCACAGAGAAGTATAATACATTGCAACATTTTTAGTAATAGCAATCTAAAGTCCATCAGCAGAAGAGTGGGTATGTAAATGGTGACATATTCCTCAGTGTAACGCTATTTTATCGTGACCATGAAGAGTGCTCTAGATTGTCAGCTTGGCACCATTGCCATGCCCTCCTATAGTCTCCTTTCCGTTATCGCGTTAGACCTGCAACTACATTTGCCAGTATCTTACTTTCGTATGGTTCTAGCTAGTCTTCCAGTGAGGGCATTTGCATGATTTTGTAATGCAGGAAGAAAGAGTTCTTAGTGTCCATTGGCACACGGCAGATGTGAATTTATCAGCCCTCCTGAACAAGCTCTTGCAGTTCACCTCTTTCAGTCCAGTAGGTATTTGAGGTTGTTGTCAGTAGCCTTCCAGAGATTCTTAGATTCACAGAGACTCTGAGAAAGCTCTTGAGCATCGCATGTGGCAAAATTGTCACTGGCAGCTTCTTGATCTTTGCTCCCCCATGTACACCTCTGATTCTCTGTATTAAATCTTTTTTGGCTTGGAATTCCTTGAGTAGTTTTGTGATCATGACCAAACCCTGAATGATGCTTTGAGTTACACACACCAGCATGAGTAAGTTTCAACCACATATGGTTGTGTGAAAAAAGCATACTACGGAATTTTACAAGAGAAAAATTTTAAATATGCAAAGCAATATTACATATTGTTGATGTATACATATACATGTAGTAAAAGTTTGAAAAGAGGCAAAGAAATGGTAAACACCAAATTCAGGGTAGTGGCTACCTCTAGAGGCAGAGAAAAGGAATGACAATGTGGACAGTTATACAGAGGATCTTAATTTTATGTGTGTGGGTGCATGTTTTATTTCCTAAATAATATCTGGAGAAAATGTGGAAAATGTGAAGGTGTGAACAAACCCGGCTACTCTTTATATTATCTTCTGTAAAAGGGTTTTTATTTTATTTTATTTTTATTATTATTTTTTATTGTACTTCAGGTGAAGGCTTACAGAACAAATAGTTTCTCATGAAACAGTAGTACACATATTATTTTATGACATTGGTTAACAGCGCCACAATATGTGGGTTTTTATTTTTTGAAAAACAATGTTTAGACCATTAGACTTGATGGTCTGTAAGTCTAAAGTCACAGCTCTGAGATTCTGATATTAAAAAAAATCAACTGACGTTTCTTCTAAAAATAAAGTATATGAAAATGACAAATTATGTGAGCTCTATTTTTAAGTGTGCTCTGAACTTGGTACAATCAGAATTTTGACAACCATGAATGGAAATTATATACATGCATGTGAAAATTTTAATTTATATTTGGAAAAATAATGCAATGTATTTATTATTTTCATCTTTATTGATAGTAATCCACATTTAATAAAAGACAGACACACTTAGTAAGAAATACAACATTGTTGATATTAGAGTATTTAAATTTCTATTTTTTAATTATTGTTAAAAGGAGTTAGAAAATTTTGCATATGGTTTTTCCCTTATGTTTTCTTTTTTCTCTTTTTGTTTATAAAATTATTTTAGAAAAATCCCGATGAACAATTATATTTTGCTTATGGACTTCTTGACAAAGTAATTGGGGCAATAAATTTGAATTGCATGGTAACTACTTTGCCAAATGGGTCATCAGTAATTGATCACTGTTATACCAAGGTAAGAATGGAAAAATCTTACAATAGCTTCAAGCTGTACTTAAGTAGGAAGAGGGCTGGTCTTGCAAGTAGGTAAGTGAAGTATAATTTGTGGTGGCTCCTCTCCCATAGGCCAGAAATGTATTATTCCCTTCTTCCCAGAAGAAAGCAAAGAGAATGAGGGGCCTTTGAATTCATCAGTTAAGAGGCCACTGATGACTTATAAAAGCGGATTTATTAGTGTGTAAGCCAGACTGGAAAGGGTCGAGGAGTGAGCAGAATTTAATGGCTAAGAGTAAGATGATGACTTGAGGGATAATAGTATAGAACTATTTTTAGTGTGATTTGATAACTGTATTTATTTTTTATTTTCACTTCAACTCTCCTGGACCAAAGTATGTCCAAGATATAAATGGAAACACTTGCAAACCAGTTACAGCAAATAGTTTCATGATGGATTTGCATCTTGAACTAATTCAAGCCCAGCATCGAATAGCCGTCATGCTTCTTGATCAATTAAAAGGTAGTAATCAAAGCAAAAAATTTTGCTGAATCAATTTTAAGCCAAGTTCAAGTGTGGAATCAATTTAATTTGTAAACTGTGTTCTTGTTGACTGGGTGTTTTTCAGATGAATTTTGTTTTTTTTTCTTTTGTGATGAATATCAATAGATACCTTTCATTATTGCTTTGCACCTTGTGTAGCAAATCAGTAAACTTCTAAAAAAATTTAAATTAATTGTATTTGTTGGAGTTATAGTAAGTTATTGGTATTTTGTTAATTCAATTGAGCAAATATTTACTGAATGCCTACTATGATACAGACACCATATTCAGCTTGGTACAAATAAGACACAGCCTCTACTTTTGAGTTTCTAGATAAGTAAGCCAATGGTAACATTGAATGTTAGTAAATATTGTAACATAGGTATGCTCAGAGTGTTTCTTACGGGTACACAGAGAGAGGGCATCTACATTAGACAAGGAAGTTAAGAATGGCTGCCTAGAAGAGGTGATAGTTGACCAAAAAGCTAGTAAAAGTTATCTCCATGAAGAAGCTAGAAAAGGCAGTAATCATTTTGGTTAGAGGAAATAGCCTTTAGGAAGGTGGCCGCAGATAGTTGCATGGCACAATTTAGGAACTGCTAGAATTCTGTTACGGCTGGAGTAAAGAGCACATGTGGGGGATGATAGACAATAAGCTCAGAGAGGTCTATTATGGTTAGATCTCGAAGGGCTGAGGAATTCATACTTTATCCTGGAAGCCATTGCAAAAATTCAGGAAGACATCTCAATCTCTAAAAGCAATGGATCTAAGTTGTAGTTTTTCATTGCCTCATTGTCAGGTAATGAGATCAAAATATTAAAAAAAAAAAAAGACACCAACAGTAATAAATAATACACATACAAATAACACATTTGTCAGAGTTCTGAAATAAGGTTTAATATCATTAGGTCTAAAAATTCTTCTGTATTAGGTTAAATTTTGACAAAGTTGAGCTACTCTTGCATGATCATATAGCCAATATTTATATAACTACCACTTGTCCATTTTAAATTACTAGTAATGATATTGTGCATGATAAATACACACAATAATTGTTAAAGCTATATATTAAAAAGTACATGATTATATATAAATAAACCATCTATAGAAAACCATATTATTTGGTATGGTAAAAGGACAGATGGTCCATAAAGTCTGGAAACACAGATTGAAGATGTCTTTGATGACATTATGCATATTCACCTATGTTTCCAGATTTTATTAATACCCTCTTTATATATTATTGAAGAGGATGGTAATGCAGAATTTAGGATGGTGGTTCCTTTGTGGAGGTGGTAGGGGGATGACATAGGAGGGAGGAGGATATACGTAGATTTAAGTCATTGGTAACTTGGGTAGTCAGTTCTGGAGTTGCGTGGCTTGCATGTGTTACTATATTAATGTGCTTTATAATATGTTAAATGTATTTTTGTGTTTATCAAATAAAATATAGAGAAATAATCAAAAATTTGATTGTTTCCCCTGAAAATTAAAGAAAGGGCTAAGAGAGTTAATAGTGGTAAACTGTTTCCTCCACTTTTTGCTTTGAAAAAATTTCAAACCTACAGAAAAATTAAATGAGAAGTATAATGGACAGCCATATACTCTTCACTTAGATTTGCTAATTGTTAATGTTTTGCCCGGGGAGTGTTTTGTTCTGTTGGACATAGAGTCACTATGAATTGAAACCGACTCATCAGCACTTAACAACAACAATATTTTGCCATGTTTACTGCCTCTCTCTTTATACACACGCATATACATAATATATCAACACACCTACTTTCATACATATATGCGTGTGTGTGTATGTTCCAGACATCATGATATTTTACTCCTAAATACTTTAGCATTTATCTCCTAATAACAAGTATATCCTCCTATGTAACCATAATACCATTATCACTCTCAAGAAATGTAACATTGATACAATGTTGTTGTTGTTAGGTGCCCTGGAGTCAGTTCTAACTCATAGCAACTCTGTGTACAACAAAACAAAACACTTCCTGATCCTGAGCCATGCTCACAGTCGTTGCTGTGTTTGAGTCCATTGTTGCAGTGTGTCAGTCCATCTTGATGAGGGTCTTCCTCTTTTTTGCTGACCCTCTACCTTACCAACCGTGATGTCTTTATCCAGGGACTGGTCCCTCCTGACAACATGTTCAAAGTACGTGAGAGGAAGTCTAGCCATCCTGGCTTCCAAGGAGCACACAACAATATTGTTTATTATACAGCCTGTTTTCAAATTGCCATGTTTATTCCCCAAATATCATCTTGGGGGAAAAAATGACTTAAAAAAAAATAGGATCTAGTCAAGGATCACTTATTGCATTTGCTTGTCATGTTCTTGAATCTAGCATAGTGTCCCCAACCTTTTTTTTTTTATGACACTGATATTTTTGAAGACATGTTTCTAGGACATTCCACAATCTGATTTTTCTGGTATTCCTCATCATTATGTAGGTGATGTTGTGTCCGTCTCATTGTATCACACTAGGTGGCATGCATTGTCAATTTATCCTATCATTGCTGAGTTAAAGTGCTATCACTTTGTTAAGGTGATGTCTGCCAGACCTCTCTGTTGTAAAGGTACCTTTCCCCCTTAGTAATGAAAAAAATAATCTGATTGTACAATGGTGATTTTCTAATTGAATTATTCCTGCTACATTTAATGCTGACATTCTTTTGTAAAGAAGAACTGTCCCTCTCTGGCCCTTTTAATTTTTTGAGTAACATTGAAGATTGGATTCCTTTTTTATTCAATATTTTAAAATCAGTTATGAACATTATTCTTTCTGATGCTTAAAGTCACAGATTTTGTCAGTGAAGACTCTTTAAACTAGATCCTGTATTTTTTTTGACATGTCCCCATTATTCTTTGAGCAATTTCTTGCTGTCCACACAACAACATATTGTAGACCTACCTTATGCTTTCTGTACCCAAGACCTAGAATCACCAGTTTGGTTCCTTTTGGTAGGGGATAGTATTTAGAAACCAAGATCTATGAGTGTGAAGTGCTCATTGCTATTTGGGGTGTCAACTAGCTCCTTTGAATGGATAGAGCTAAGATATATAGATCTTAAAAACGTATTTTTTCCACTAGTTCTTTCTGAAATCCCCAGTTCAAAGTTTAACACCAAAAGGTTCTTTCTCACCTACCTGATTGTATTTTTGTTTTTCCTTCTTCCATATTGAGGACTCTGGTTACCAATAACATCAACATTATTACTCATTTGCTTTATCCTACTATATTAACAAAATAATTTCAGAATTATTAAACTGATACCACTATCAACAACAAACCTATTAAGTAAATTCAGAATATCTTTGCAGTTCATTTTATCTTTAAAATATATTATACAGTCATAGAATTGTGTTCAAATTTCCTTGAATTAATTCTGTTTTTTGTGTGATTTGTTACCACTAGGACCACTTTTTTTCTATTTGCATAAAATTTCCTTTTTTTATGCTTTTACATTTTTAAACTTTTAATATTTAATTTAAACATTTACGTGGTTTCAAAACTGTTTCTTATATGACCTGCTGAGTAGGTGGAGGGAAGCAAATAATAATTAAAATATCTCTGTGTCATCATATATAAATTGAAAAACTTGATAAAATGTTCTTAATATATAAAAAGGTTACTTAAGAGTAATAACTTTGACAGTTCTTTGAGCTGAAAAGATTTGGTTCATAAAAGGATTTCAAAATGTGACTAGAATACTGTGTCTGATTTTCTTTAAGAAAATTTGTCCATAATTTCCACTTAGTACCTGTATTGTCTTCTTTAATGGAGGAGTAGGGTATTATTTACTTACAGAGTTACTGAATAGTTCATTTTCCAGTTGTCATCCATACATCTTTGAAGGCCAAACGATTCTCTGAGTTTTTATTAGACCACTTAAAGGTATGGTAGACTTGAGTTCGAATTTATATGAGATTAGTTATTCTTCCTTTGCAGTATCTCTGGATGTCCTTTATTTATTTATTTTTTCTGCTTTATCGAACTGCAACCCTAGCACAGATTATCACTTTTTTTTTCCTGTCTTTCTTCCCTTCAGTATGCTGGTGCTGGACTAATGTTCCCTAAATACATCTTTTGTCGTTCTTATTCAAGAACTTTACAACGGTTGCTTGTTGATAACTATGGCATTAAATGTGACTCATCTATATCTGGCATTCAGAGTTTTCTTGCAATATCATGTTTCTTAACTCCAATGAAAGTATTTAATGAGTATTTACCCCCTCACAGGTACTGAGAGCATGATGCATTTTTTTTTGCTTTATATTACTATCTCCATGCAGATAAGTTCCCTTATACTTTGCCATTAAGGAAACCTTATGCCTTTTAATGGTGTCCTTTGGTATCTTTTCATCAATCAATCAACATTCCATGGTGACTCCCGTGCATTAACACAAACAATCAAACCTCAATAAAAGGAGTATATTGTAAGATTACTACAGACACCCTCACATACCTCCAAGGACAGAAACAAAATATTGCCAGGTCTCTTGAGGACCAGAACTGGAAAATCAAGAATCAGTGCTATCTTCTCCATTTCCCTGGGCCAGCATAAATTTATCCTTTTCTCCTTCATCCAATTTCCTTTTTTTTACTGGTCCATCATGTTAATCCCAACTGTACACCAAGGTCTCTCTACTATCCTACCTATACTCAACTGGTAACAATTTCTGTGTTAGTTGAAATTCGCAAGAAAAGGAGGCTCTAATTTTGTCAGAGAAGAGTGGGATCTTTATGTACACAAAACTGCCTCTTTCAGGGACAATGAATGAAGTAGTTTCTGTAGACAGGGCTAAGCACAGAGTTGTGACAGCTAATTTGGTATCATGACTTGCCATTTATTCTTTATTGAAAGGGAAAGTGAACAAAAGCAGTACTTATCAACATGCAAGATGATTTTATTTAAGGTGCAATAGAAAATATTTTTATAATTTGGAGATTCTGGTGTCCTCAGGTACACTGTGGAAAATCAAAGAGGATTTCACAATAAAACCGTATCATAATAGATTCATTTGAATTTTCATCTACTGATGAAAAAAAGATGACATATGATAGAGGAAGCAATAATTTTACAAATAGATGGCTACCTTTAATATTAATGTTAATGTTTATAAAATATTTCCTTTCTTGAACACAAATCTAGTTATAATGATGATCTTCTTTTTCATCATTTTCTTCTACAGTTTTGCAGACTCCAACTGTTAGCAACGTTTCTACCAAAGGCCTGGAAAAGTCAAAACAGTCTGGAAGCACTGATTGTTTCACAGGTAATTAAAATTGGGACAACCTATATTTTCAAAAGATTTTGAGGATAGTTTTTATCATGCCCTTTTGGTAAAATGTTTGTTTGCTTCTGCAGAATTAAGTGTAATGAATAAAATAAAGAAGAATAAACTATCCAAAGCGATTTACTTGATGCAGAAGGCTCTTTTAATATTTGAGAAAGATGCAACCTCTACATCTTCACATGACTTTTTGATGGTAATGATATTTCATTTCTTCTTTTAGTCTTGACTTACAAGTTCTGTATGATTTTCCCTTTGTTAAAAATAATGTGCTGCCCTTAATATCTGAATATGAACTTTCAGGTTCTCCACATGTAGTCTTCTCTTTGAGAAGGGAAACAGCCTGAGAAGGGGAAACGAATCTATATCTCTAGTTCTTAACTCTCCTGAAATGTATGGTATTCTCTCTCTGTAGGAGCAACCTACATGAGAAGCCAAATAAAAGCAGAAATACTCAAAATGAGGGAAGTTACAGAATTTAAGTGACACTCAGCTAGTGCAATGCATTAATTTCTATGGAATTAAAATGCTTCAGGTCCACTAGCTAAATTTATTCCCCCTCAGATAGATACTGCTGGTTTCTGATTTACTATATGTCTTAGTTATCTAGTGTTGCTATAACAGAAATACCACAAGTGGATAGCTTTAACAAACAAATTTATTCTCTCACAGTCTAGTAGGCTAGAAGTCTGAATTCAGGGTGCCAGCTCCAGGGGAAGGCTTTCTTTCTCTGTCAGCTCTGGAGGAAAGTCCTTGTCATCAATCTTCCCCTGGTCTAGGAGCTTCTCTGCACAGGGACCCTGGGTTCAAAGGACACGCTCTACTCCTGGCACTATTTTCTTAGTGGTATGAGGTCCTCATCTCTCTGCTTGATTCTCTCTTTTATATCGCAAAGCAGATTGGCTCAGCATACAACCTAATCCTGTAGAGTCCTGCCTCATTAACATAACTGTCGCTAATCCTGCCTCATTAACATCATAAAGGTAGGATTTATAACACATAGGAAAATCACATCAGATCACAAAATGGTGAACAACCACATAGTACTGGGAATCATGGCCTAGCCAAGTTGATACACATTTTTGGGGGACACAGTTCAATCCATAACACTATATTTGGTTTTTCTTTAAATTTGTTGATACCTTTAATCAGGACTTACTTTGGCCTACAAGTTGTTTTATCTCATTATTGATTCATTACATGTTGATTTTAGAGTCTAACTATCAGAGGGCAATCACATTTCCAAGTTATGAAATCTTCTGAAAACTTTGATTGCAGTGGGTTGAGAAGTGATTGACTCATGAAGAGGTACAGAATAATGTTGCAAGTAACTTTTCCGATAAGGAGAGGAAAAAAGTCATCAAAGCTAGGAGTTACAGAGTTAAAAAAGTTAAGAGAGGCGTTTTAAGAGAGAGAATTGAGCATACTCATATGCTGAGATGAAGAGCCAGTAAAAAAGAGAGAAATTGAAGATATAAAGAGAACGGGGTTAATTCATAGAGCCAAGTCCTATAAAAGAGGGAAGGGGATGAGGCTGAAAGCACAGGATTAATCTTCAGTGAAGGGTGGGCTGCAGGGTGAACCCTTATCCTCTGATACAGAAGGAAAGGAAGAAGGGACAGATGTAGATATAAATAAGTTTGTTGGTATAACTAGGCAGGGAGTTGAGCTGACACCTTCTAAACTCAAACATCTGATAAAGTAGGAGGCAAGGTTTTCTGCCTTCAGTGACTAGGTAAAGGTGGAGAGTTGGATTGAGGAGAGTGAAGACAATTGGAGAGTAAAGAAGAATGGATGAGGGAGCTGACTCCAAGTAAAAGGACTGGCCAGCATCATAAAATTCTAGCCAAGGCTGGAAACCATGAATTTTTAGGAGGGCCCGTATCTTCATAATGGTATGACATTTTCCTGGTCTGGTATTTTTAGTAGCTGTGACAGCAGAATATGAGATTTTTTCCAGGGTTAGATTTTTTTTTTTTTTAATTAAGGTACAGGTTAAAGGTTCATGGTAATAAAAAATGGCCACAGACTGGGTAGGGAATGAAATGACACCATCGAGGTATTTAAAGACTGGGTGATTATAGAGATATCAAGAGACTGGACATCTCTGTTAGGTCAGAGACCAAAGAGTGAGTGCCTGAGAGAGCTAGAAGGGTAGGTGTTTGAGGTTAGAAAGTAGAATGTTGGAACTTTAGGTTTCTCATGTAGTATTTCCTGGCCATCTGTCCATTGATTCATCTATCCAACAAATATTTATTCAGTGCCTATGACCCATTCAGCAAATATTGATTGAAAGTTCACTAGATCCTGGCATTACTCTGAATAAAAACGAACAAACAAACAATTTATTATTCAACAAATATTGGTTGATTGACTTGTCTTTGTGGTCCCTGCCTTCATGATAAATCCAGTCTATAGGGGTTATAAAAAGTACTGTATTTTTAAGCAAATAACATGTGCCTTCTACACTTGTTTGCCAACCGCACCCTCCCCCCGTAAGATATTTTTGTAAGTGTGCTATGCTAATTTTTTTTTTAAGCAGCAACATGTAAAAAAAAATTGGCATAGTGGCACTTATGAAAGTAACTCATGGGGGAGGGCGCAGTTGCAAAACGTAGAAGGCACACGTTATTTGCATAAAATATGGTAAATAGGTACTTATGAATCAGTTTCATAGGTGTTTTCGTTGAAAGAATACCAGGAGAATCCATCAGAGGAGCACCTAACGCAACAATGAGAAGTGACATGAGGTCGAATACTGAAAGACAGGCAGGGGTAGCTAGAGAAAGAGAGGAAAGTGTAGGAAGGACATTCTAGGTGGAGAGAATAACATGTGCAAAGGTGCCTTGGCTAGAAAAGTCATGGAGTGTTTGTAGCACTACAAGTCATTACTGTGACTGAAGCTTAGATGCAAGGGGGGAAGTGGTAAAAGGGGAGATCAGTGAGTAGGTAGAGGCTAGTGCATAAGGAGTCTTTGACGCCAAGATAGGGATTTTGGATGGATGAGTGCTCTCCATGTTCAAGGTAGGGCAGTCTGTCCTGGCAATATTAGGGAAGAGCCTCAACAAATTTGAATTCACGGCATTTGAATGAGGGAGTCTAATGATGGTGTTGAGTAGTCTCAGCTGACAAGACCAAGTGGTTCTTATCTTTTTTGGAAGTTTTCTGGGATGTGTTCAGATCATTTTCTCAGCAGATGCTTTTATGGCCATTGCTACTGTCTAGTACTTGGAGGATGTTAGAACTTCAGTTCTATTTCTGTTGCAGACAAGCCTTATCTCTCTTCTAGGACTGTTGCCCTCAGAACTAATCTTGTGGCCACTCAGACCCTTGAGAGGGTAAAACCTCTGATGTTTTCCTTTTATTATTATGACTCAATCTTGTCTTTATACTGATGTAATAATATGCTTGTTGTTAGGTTGCTGTTAGGTGCTATCAAGTCAGTTCTGACTCATAGCGACCCTATGTATGACAGAACGAAACACTGCCCGGTTCTGTGCCATCCTCACAATCACTGCTATGTTTGAACCCATTGTTGTATCCACTGTGTCAATCCATCTCAATGAGGGTCTTCCCCTCTTTCTCTGACCCTTTACTCTACCAAATGTGATGTCCTTCTCCAGGGACTATTCCTTCCTGATAACATGTCCAAAGTACATGAGATGAAGTCTCACCATCCTGGATTCCAAGGGGCACTCTGGCTGTTCTTCCAAGACAGATTTGTTTGTTCTTCTGGCAGTCTGTGGTATATTCAGTATTCTTCACCAACACCATAATTCAAGGCATCAATTCTTTGGTCTTCCTTACTCATTGTCCAGCTTTCACATGCATACGAGGCAATTGAAAATACCATGGCTTGAGTCAGGTGCACCTTAGTCCTCAAAGTGACATCTTTGCTTTTTAATACTGTAAAGAGGTCTTTTGCAGCAGATTTTTCCAATGCAATGCATCTTTTGATTTCTTGACTGCAGCTTCTGTGGATGTTAATTGTGGATCCAAGTAAAATGAAATCCTTGACAACTTCAATCTGCTTCCTGTTTATCATGATGTTGCTTATTGAACCAGTTGTGAATATTTTGTTTTTTTATGTTGAGGTGTAATTCATACTGAAGGCTGCAGTCTTTGATCTTCATCAGTAAGTGCTTCAATTCATCTTTGCTTTCAGCAAGCAAGGTTGTGTTATCTGCATAAAATGCGGGTTGTTAGTGAGTCTTCCTCTAGTGCAATATGTCATTCGATTTCTTGACTGCTGCTTCCATGGGTGTTGATTGTGGGTTACTGATTGTAATATGCTTACTCCCCTGTCATGTCTCTATCTTCCTACCACTGAGAGTAGGGGACGTGCTAGAGACCTGGAAGTCTATAAAGTTTCCAGTGTTCTCCTTGTGCATCTTTTCCTTCTATTTCTTCAGACTATTTTAACTAGTCTGAATTTTCCAGTGTTCTTCTCTTTGTGCTTTTCCTCTTCTATTTCTTAAGTGAAACTATTTTAACTTAGAAAAATTATGAATATAATGTCATGTCAGGATAGACTCATGAGATGCATTTAGAGGCTCTACTTTTTATGAGGGGTCCGTGAACATGTTGAATATTTATCTAGAGGCCCTGAAAGCATCTGTCGCCACCTCTGCTACTCAGTAGTAGTTCTTTATTCAAGTGTCAGTGCTTACTGGCAGGGTACTCTCCTAAACAATGTTGTTATGGCTCAAATAATTGCCAAACTTTCTTTCCTAAAGAAGATAAATACATTTCTTTCCCTTGACAATCATTTTCTACTGCGGTGTATTATAGAATGTTTTATATTATTATGATCTCCTGATAAAGTTATCCCCAAATCGGCAACTGATGTGTCATCTGATACCATAAACCTGTTTGAAGAGCCTGGATCTCTTTAGAACTTTTAAATAATTCATACCCTGTTTTAGTTTTTCAGAAGTTTCCTGATTGTAGATCTGAATAACTTTGTCAGGTCTCTGTTTTATTACCAATTACCAGACAATTAAAGATGGACCAACTTGTCACCACAAATGAGGGATAAACCTTTTATAATAACCTGTTAACTTTCCAAATGAGATGACTGGCTTTTTTTTTTTTTAAATGAAGATTTATTTTTTCCATTTTTCCTATCTTGGTCATTTGATCTCTGCAAGTCCGTATTAACTTTTTACACATTACACCACCAGTTTGCTTTAATGG